ACCAAAATGCAGAAAGTTGATTTGAAAATAGCAGAGGGAGTTTTCCAATGTTTTCAAACGAACACGGAAAATTTTAGCGACTTTACAGTCAGAGTTGGTGACACCAAGTTCAACTGTCACAAGTTTGTTCTTGGTTCTTGCTCTAGTTTTTTTGAGTCTCAATTGAGGAAAAATACGAGAGAGAAATCTGAGTCAAGCTGTACCATACAGGGCATTTCTCCACAGACATTTTGCTTAATACTGGATGTCGTGTATAAGGGAGAGAATGTCTTAAATAAAGGAAACATGCTTAGTTTGTGGCATGCTTCGAATCAGTTGCAGATTCAGTTCCTTACAGAGGCATGCGAACTTTTCATTAAACAAAATATCACAACACAAAACTACTGAGAAATTTATCAAACCGCAAATAGTTTGGAATCATCAGCAGTGCTTACAGAGGTTAGGAAAACAATGGTCAAGTCTTACTTTGATATAGTCTCTTCAGCCAGCTTCATGAAGTTATCTTTAGACGACTTGTTGGTGATTCTTCAAACTGACCAATTGGAAACTTGCGCAGACTTTGTTGTTAGTTCGATTTTGAAGTGGGCATATTCACCAGAAAATCTGAAGAAAAATTCTGCAACTGAGTTAACATTAGCCTATCAAGGTGATTATTATTATTCATACTCTCAAATGCAAAACATCGATGGATATGGTGTATATTATCAGGAAGTCCCCCAGCAACCTGTACCAGAGAAGCAACAAGAGGCTGAAATAGAAGAAGATCCAGAAAACGTAAAGTACCGCAGGTCTGTACTTGACCAGCTGCTCAGAGTTGCCCGCCTTAACGAGGTAAGCAATGAATGCCTAACCATGTTAATGAACAATGAAATAATAATTGAAAATAAAAGTGCCATCAAGATGGTAACCAACAAGCTTCAAGTAGGCTTGGGCAACGCTCTGATATAAATCCTTGCTATACTCAGGTGGATTTGTATGGTCAAGTTGACAATCAAACACAAATTGTTTGCAAACACTGTGGCAGATATAAAAATTCTTTTCGGTGGAGTTAAACTCCAAATCAGCGTGTATTTTTCTTGTCTTCTTGTGTGCCAATATATTATTATACACATTAAGCCTGTTTACATTTCAAAATAAATTTTCTAACTATCTTTAATGAAATTTCATGGCTCGTAACTGTAATAAAATAATTTTTGTTTCCAGAAATCTCGTAACTAAGTTTGGAAAATGATACTTCAATTAACAAAACTATCATCTCATTTTTAATGCACTTACTTGATGTTGTGTTTCTATATCTACGCGAATCAGTACATCTTTTAATTCTTTAAAGTGGTTTCTATGTGAGTGCTACATCTATTAAATGTATTTTAAGTGTAGTGTGTTATAATTTACTATTGAAAAAACATGAAATGGACGCAGAGGTTTAATTCGATAGTGTAAACAGAAGGGTCTCAACGGAATACCTGCATTCCAACTTAGCTGACCAGTCAATGAGAACTAAATATTTTATTACTGTCACAACTCTTATAGTCAAAAAATAAATGCGTTCGTTTAGTTAAATTTTTAACTTGAATGTTTTGGCCAAATATTGTTTGCCCGATACATTGGAAAACTGAGGAAATATTGGAATACTGAAAGTTCTTAAAGTTTAAGAAATAACTCTCTGTAGGTTAGTAAAATTGTAATTTTATAATATGTGGTCACTTTGAATGTTGTGTTTTGTGTTTCTCTTCGATGTAAACAGTTACAATTTACAAAAATATTAACTTTATTGTTAAACACTTAAATATTGAATAAAATGGAGAACATGTTAAATTATGCAATCTAAAATACATTTGCGCTTATTTCTTTTGAAATTTGCTAATTTGTTTTTAGTACTGTATTTTAATTTTTAAGAATACAAATTGATGCATTAAAAAAATTGTGATTAAAAACTCAATTCTACCAATCAATATGTTTTCTCTTTTTTTTTAAATTCCTTCGATGTATCTGAATATTACGTTATAGCTTTTTTTTGCTCTCTTGACGAACTTAACGACAGTTCTAATTTTTTTAATTTGAAGCAGGTAACACTGAAACACTAATTTCGATTATTGATGATTGTTTTTGTTGTGTATACATTTAATAAATGTGACAGGTATTTGGCACAATAGGTTTGTGTGAGGTTATAGTAAAAAGTAAAGAATCCATTTTAGATCTAGCGATCTATTGGGCTGATAGAGTTCATATTTTACTTGAAGGGAAGCTGTGGTGAGCACTATACCTAGCCGCCTTATACTCTCCCTAACATGAGTTTAGTAACCCATCAGAACTCGCCGACGTTCTACTAGCTTGTACCCGGATTCAAACTTGAGTCTTTTATGTTAGCAGGCAAGCACTCTACCGCTGTATGGTTAGAATGGTACCACGTTAAGCCTGTCATAAGAAAGGTTAATAGCCTTGTGCAGTTGTTTTGGTTAAGGGTAATGTCTCCATTGTATAGTTAACGAGGAGCAATCAATCCGGAGCTATGAACACATTTTGTATGGTGAACATGCTAGTATATTTAGCATTAATTCTAACGGTCACAATACCAAATTTTGAAAAATGCGAAAAAAAATATTCCTATTGTTTTTTTTTATGCTACAAAAAACTAGCCCAATGACTTTATTGAGTTAGCAAAAGAAGGATCAATGTTAGTTTTTGGTTTTGAGACCTCCACAAACGTTTTTTTTTTAAAGATTGCCCTCGTTGCCATGGCAAAGTTTTTTTTCGTTGATGCTAGCAGATATTTTCCTTTAAATACCGTAACATAGAAATACACAAATAATTAAATAAGGCGTATGAATTAAGAAGTTTTGTTTTTACATAAGCCTACTTAACATTTGCCAAGAGTAAAAAGCTGGTAAGAGTAATTAATCTATAATAAAATTTACATTTGAGATAAGCGGATGAAATAGGATTGTTTTCATATTCAGTTTAAGAAGACATTTTATTTTATTTTAAACTAGACATGCAAAATGTGATTGACCACTTCATGCAATATTTTATCTAACCCTATGTTTTTACAGTGTTGTTAATTTAGCCTCGCTTGGTTTACCCTGTGCTAATGCACGAGTGATACAATATCAGTGTTATACAAAATAAATACAAAATACAACATAAAAAACTTTTTGTGTTTAATAATACGTTTTATCTTAAATTGATAGGATCAACTAATCTAGCCAATTTGCACCAAACAAAAGATAAATTAATTACAAAAAACTAACCAGCGGCATAGGTTGGAATGCATATTTTATAAGTCGCTTCTTATATTCAGTTACATTGCAACTGACTGAAATAGAATTTCAAAATTGTTTCAAAATGTGATATACTTACTTGAGTAAAATTTGCTTACTAAAAGCGAATCACTAACACGGCTGTATATTGTGTGTCTTATATAACCAGAACAATAAGCTACATTTTTTTGACAGCTGGATGAATATACAAAACGAGCCGGCCCGCGGCATAACATACGCCGCTATTTAGTTGTTGTTTTTTCTACTTTTCAGTAATTCATATTTGTGAATTCGACAGTACCAACGCTGCCACTGAAAATATTTCTTTAAAACACTATAAGTAGCTCGTTAAGGACCATACCCCCCCTTCCTTCCACCCTCCTACGTTTAAAATCGTTGGCTCTGCTTGTAAACATTTAGAGTGAACACAGCTCACTAAAACCATGTAGGGGTGGGGAGGTAGGGAGCGCGTTTGCAGCTTGTTTTCTAGCGACTCCCAGAAGAGAATTATATATATAGATGTTTAACAGTTCACTTATACATAAGAAACGGCAATAATATTGCATATATATTCTTTGAAGTAAGTAAAGTTCCCTTTACAAACCTGACAGTCTATAGGGCAATTGAAGTAGAGTTCACTTGTTTCTGTGACCTTGGCATATGAAGAGATAGTGTGGTCAGCACTATGCCCAGCCGGCTTTAAGGTGAGTTAGAGTTGGGTGGCCTCAGGGACGGTCTACTGACTTGAACCCGGATTCGAACTCGAGACTTACGGCTTAGCAGTCCAGCTCTCTCCCGCTAGACCACTCCATCCCCTATATTTTCTTTGGACCACGTTCATTTTTTTTCTTGATATATTTTGAAAGGATTAAAATATCAAGAAATAAATCACAGGAAGTATCTTTACGACAGTCCCACGTTGACCACTGGGCCACGATATAGAAATAAAATGTACGATCTTCACACTACCATATTCACAATCAACACGCGTTTATACGCTGCCTTGAAACCATTCGTGACTTATGTGTGTCGTGATGTCAAGGAACCCACCCAATAGAAATATCAGGATACAGATGTGTGTTATATCGCTCGGGCGCACTTTATTTCTACGCCGTGCTGTCCAGCTCTCATATTTGATTTTTCGTCAGCTGCTAATTCAATCATTATCACTGGAAAAAATCTTATCATGTATCAAATGAGTCGGGCGTGTGTCTTGACTTTCGCCGAACCCTTGAGGCGGCTCACGGAAACACCCGAATACAGACAAAGAAACACTGATCTATCTAGAGCAGGGGTTCTCAACCCCGTGCCCGCGGGCGCCATGGCGCCCGCCGAACGATTCGTATGTGCCCGCCTCTCACTATTCGACAGAGACAGAATTTTTTTCATAAACATTATTGAAAGGTTGAAGGGGATGGAAATCGAAGCTTTAAGGGGGGGGGGGGGTGCAAATCGAAAGTTTGAGTGTTTGAGGGGGAGCGCAAATCGAAAGTTTGAGAGGGGGGGGGGTACAAATCGAAAGTTTTGTCCCCGGGTGACGGGAAGGGTCGCTACGCCTCTGGAAGGAGTTTGTCGATTTAAAATAGGTGGTGCCCGCCACCCTACCGATATTTTAGAATGTGCTCTAGAGTAAAAAAAGGTTGGGAACCCCTGATCTAGAGTCTAAATCATACGACCAAACATCGGAAATTTCCAATGATGCACATTTCAGCTTGGGTGCAGAAATAAGAGGATCGTATTTGTTTTCACTACAGACAAAAACAAAAATAACGATTCATCAACTTCTGTAATTAAAGTAACTTGCATTTTAAGCTTTATACACCAACGATGGTGCCGCAACCGACTGCCTCTTGGCGCAGTAAGTATTTAATACAATAAGATTTTCTGTAAACCGTGTAGATCTAAGTAGTTCAGGGATGAACGACACAAAATGTCTCCATAAAAACAACAACATTGATCAATGGCATCTGCATGATTGCAGTGAGTAACCAGTTGACCAGTTACCTCCGGCAGCTGTCTTGTTCGTTGTCTTACAAGAGCAGATAAAAAATGAAGAGGGCAATGAAGTAATCACTAATGTGTTTGGTCCCTTTGTGAACATGATATGTATGGTTATAACAAAGAAACGGCATGGCACATATAACAATACTGCGAGTCACGGTGGCAGTTGGGTGTAGACAGGCAAGGCAAAGACGTCATTGGATAGAGGACATAAAAAAAAAGGTTTGGGCTGTCACTTATAGAACAACTTAGAGCAGTAGAGGGCTGAAAAGTTGGCCGAGAATTATGAGAAAATCAACTGTTGTGTTGTAGCGACCCCATTGGTTAAATGACGATTGCTTTTTTTGGATTGGGGGTCATCCATAAATGACGTCACGCTTTTTTGGACGATTTTTACCTCCCCCCCTCCCCTCCGTCACTCGTCATCACAAAAAGCCAGACCCCCCAAAAATGACGTCACACCTCAACCTACAATCCCCCTCAAAATTGCAGTTGAATTTTTTTTAAACATCGATATTTTTCTAAAATCTTGTTTAAACTATTCCAATTTATTAAAACAGTTATCTAAAACGCGCAATAACGTCTAAAATTCGTTTTCTAACATTGCTTTTTTTAAATGCAAAAATGTGACGTCGCAACATCTGAACCTCCCCCTCATCACACATCCTCACAAAATTACCGACCCCCCTCCATCCTACGAGTGTGACGTCTTTTATGGATGGCCCCTTGATTGAACTAGGTTTAGGACTCTAGCAAGGGTTAAATTTGATCTACGGTTAGGGCTATGTTTTGGGTTAGCTTAGAAAACTAGGTTACTTTTCGGGGTGACAGGACAAAATATCTCAGACAAAATATCTCAGACAAAATATCTCACGGACAAATGATTTCAAGGACAAATGATCTCACGGACAAAAGATACCAGGACAAAACATATCAGCACAAATGATATTTTGTCTGAGATGTTTTGTCTGAGATCATTTGTCATGGAACCTTTTTTAGGGCTAGTATTTAAGTTACCTATAGAACTAGTGATTAATACCATGTAGGATAAGAATATTGACATTGTGTTTATTGATCTTTGGGGTTATAGTAAGATGGTAATAACTCGGTTTATCTTATATATCTCTAACTACAAATTGTGTTTAATGACCTAAACTTACTTTATCTTATCTCACCTGACCTTCCCATCATCGCTGTTAACAGTAAAAGTAAATAACTGAAATTTAACAGGGTAATCCCCTCTTTTTTTAAACAAACAAAATAAAAGTATTTACTAATACTAATTAAACTACTTTTGTTTCATGTGTTTACTGTTAATTACTTATTTATTTAAGTTTAATGTGTTTACTATTTAATTAATTATGCCTATAGCGCTGCTAGATAATCATTGCATTTACAGCAAACAATGAAGCGGGAGTGAATAGTAAGTGTAAGGGTTACTATGCAGGAAATTATTGTATTCTAATTTTTCACGCACGCACGCACGCACGCACGCACACACACACACATGCACGCACGCACGCACACGCGCACACACACACACATGCACGCACAAACAAACACACACACACACGCATGCATAGTTCAGGTCACTTACATTTATTTGTGATAAAATTACTGCTTAAAAATTTCGCTGCGACATGATAGTTTCAACACCACACAGGAGTTTACACATTTTACACACATATTCTCAACCTCTTTGTGATGTTTTGCCAATACAAACCAGTGAATGCAATGATGTCACATAACTCTATAGATTAAGCCAGGGGTTCCCAACCCCGTGCCCGCGCGCGCCATGGCGCCCGCCGAATGATTCGTATGTGCCCGCCTCTCACTATTCGACAGAGACAGAATTTTTTTCATAAACATTATTGAAAGGTTGAAGGGGATGGAAATCGGAAGTTTGAGGGGGGGGGGGGGGTGTGCAAAATCGAAAATTTGAGGGGGGGGGGGGGTGCAAATCGAAAGTTTTGTCCCCGGGTGACGGGAAGGGTCGCTACGAGTTTGTCGATTTAAAATAGGTGGTGCCCGCCACCTTCCGATATTTTAGAATGTGCTCTAGTGTAAAAAAAGGTTGGGAACCCCTGGATTAAGCTAGGCAACGGTTACACCAATTCCTACATTTCTACCATTTATAAGCGCTACCCGAAACGCAAATGTCCGGGCTACCACCAGTGTTTCTTCCAGACTTTTTTCTCCTCCGGGGAGGGTGGGGGGCACTTAATTTTATCGGGGGAGCGCACAACATTTTGCTGGGAAGGGGGGGGGGGGGTGACACTGGTAAAAGTATGTTTTCTATATAAATTCCATTTCGTTCTGGGGGGGGGGGGGGTGTAGACTTTCTTCGGGGGGAGGGGGTGGGGATGGGCTGCCATTTCGCGAAAGTGCTCTAGTAAAACCCATATTATATAAAATCAGGGTTTCACATCTTTCATACAATATACTCTGTATCATTTTCTTTATCTTTCCTTGTGGATTTCATTCCAGCGTCTATTCATCGATGCTAAACGTCATTTTTGATGTTACGCGTATTTCGAACCACTTCTGTTTTGTCATTACTTTCTCCAGTGGCAAAGATAAGGGATTTTAATCTGGCCAACGTGGGCGGCGTGGTCAAAATGTAGAGCGTTTAGCTGCTAGCCCGAAGGTTTCGAGTTCAGATCTTGTGTCTATAAGACGTCCATGGGTCCACCCAATTACGTTGGAGAAAGAAAATGCGACTTGGCGCAGTACTGACTACACCATCCCTTCATATGCGGTGGTCAAGAAACATTTAGTTCACTTCATCTGCCCGGTGGAAAGTTAGATCTAAAAAGGAATCTTTAATTTTTTAATGTGCACTTTTAACTTCAGTTCTATATATAAATATTTATATTTACTTTTAAAATTCCCTTTTTCTTTTAGGAAACCCATATCTACAACCCGTCATGTCTCCATCTGTTTTTGCCGAAAGCTTTGATGTCAAAACGGCCAAGGAAATTTTCAATTGTTTTCAAAACAACATGGAAAACTGCACAGATTTTACAGTCGACGTTGGTGGCAACAAGTTCAACTGTCACAAGTTTGTCCTAAGTTCCTGCTCTGGTTTCTTTGAGGCTCTCATGAGGACAGATATGAGAGAAAAATTTGAATCAAGTTGTAAGCTGCATGATATCTCTCCGGAAATATTTGGCCTGATACTGGATGTTATATATAACGCAAAGACTGTTTTAACAGAAGAAAACATGCTTGAAATGTGGCACGCGTCCGTTCAACTGCAGATCAAATTTTTAATATCGGCTTGTGAGAGCTTTGTGAAAGAAAATTTAACCTTGCACAACTATTGGAAAATTTACAAAGAAGCTAAACTGCTGGATGCTAATGAAGTTATAAAAAAAGTAAAACAGTTAATGGTGGCTAATTGTGAGAAAATTGTCAAATCTGACGTCTTAATGCAGCTTTCCTTAGAGGAATTAATGCCCATTTTAATGAACAATTCCTTCCCTGGGGCTGATTCTCTCGTAGGCTCGGTTTTAAAATGGACATGCGCAGACGACTCGTATCTTGATGACGTCACCCCATTTGACGAGATCGACCCAACACTTCGCCGATCATACCTCGGTCTCTTGCTTGCTTTAATTCCCCTCAAAAATACTACCGAAGCCTGTCTGACCAAACTTAAGAACAACAAACATGTCATAGAAAATACAGGTGCCATAACTCTTGTGAGCCTGGTTGCTATCCCGTGCGATAGTGCCACAAAAACGAAAACCACGAAAGTGAATTCCAATTTCACACAGCCGAGTGCATCTCAGCATCCTATCAAGTATGACGCCTCGGAAAGGATCGCTAATTCGAGGCCTTCACACTCGGCGCACGAAGTTCACGACAGAACGGACCAAAGCTCTGATTCAGAAAGTGACATGGGTAACCTTGATTGGGATATTCTTCTGTCTTCATTATGTACAGTTTTATTTTTTCTATTAAGCTTTGCTTGCATTCTATTTTTATTTCGGTATCAACTTTTATTCTAGTCAACAGCCGGATAACAGCGACGTTTCATGGAAACATTTGAGCAGTGCTAAATTAACCGAGCCAGTCTATGTCTAATTCCGTACCCACTTCTCCTTCCCCTAAACAATCATGTAAAACAATGAAACCGCTATTAAACTGGATTAATTAACAATCGACTAAATTACCCCTCTTATTGCATTAAATTGACTATTTAAAATCTAGCTCGATAACTCCGATTTTCCTTTAAAGAATTAAAAAAACAACAAAACCCATTGCATAATCGGAAATACATTTATTTATTTTAGAAAAAAATAATGAAAATTCAGAAATTATACATTGTTTCATTTAATTCAGTTCATTGCCTTATAGATTTTGATAATTTCATTCACATTTTTAAAGCCAGACAGTGAAATAAGCGGCCATGTTTTTAATCAGTCGTGTGAGGCTAAAAAGATTTATATTTATACTAGAATACCCGTCATCCGTTGGATAACTGTGGGTTTCGGGGGTCATCCATCAAAAAACATCACGTCTGTCACTCAGAGGCATAGCGACCCTTCCCGGCGCCCGGGGACAAAGTTTTCGATTTGAACCCCCCCCCCCTCAAACTTTTGATGTGCACCCCCCCCCACTCAAACTTTTGATTTGAACCCCCCTCAACCTATCAATTTATTTTTCCAAACCATTTTGGCGCCCCAACATATGTCCCCCCCCCCCTCCCCCCCTCGACCTCTCCACCCCCCCTTCCCCCCCCCCGCCTCCCCTCCCCACCCCCCGCCTCCCCTCCCCACCCCCCCGCCTCCCCTCCCCTACCGTCCCCCCCCCTCCTCGGGACGCTACTGCAGTGTCACTTATCGTCACAAAAAACAGACCCCACATTCAAATATATGTTTTTTATCTTTTAAAAACACCGAAAACACCGATTTCGGACTATCCCTTCATAAACTGACGTCACAGGTGACCTACTCAACTCTACTTCACCTGCCCAGTGTCCTGCCAAGTCTCAGACAACATGTTTTTATCGTTTAAAAAACAATTCCAGCCGAGCATGTATCTGACCACACTATCCTTTCATATGCTTAGGACAAAGAAACAGATGAACTCTACTTCACCTGCCCTGTATCTTGCCAAGTTCAGATAGGCAACGTTATCATTCACATCTAAAAAAAAAATTAAAAAAAAAATTTCATTGACATATTGGTCTAGAACCCGTGCCTCCTGCATGAGAGCTGACTACGCTACCATTTTAGCTATTTACTCGTGACGTCACAAGTGAATTTTTATACTATACTATGTGTCTCCTTATGCAACTTGATTTACGCGTATAGATTCTAGATCTAGATCTAAAAATAAGTCTAGTAGTACTAACTTTCAAATTAAATTTTATCTTAAATAAGCCAAACAAAGATTTATATAAAATAATTAAGGCCTGAAATAGATTCTAGATGTAGAATTTACATTGAATCTAGTGACCTACATCTAGGCTAGATCTAGATCTAGGCTAGATTCATAAATTTCCTTCGATAGCTGATCTTTAGATCTAGAGAAATTTATCGTAAAACTAAATGAAAAAGACAGTTGAAAATTGATATAAGTGTTGGAACGTAATAAATACAGCAAACGGACGTATTGTTAAAGTTATGACCGACAGAAAATTAGATTTAGAACGCGTTAAACTTTTGAATGGGAACACAATTTTCTTCAATAGACGCCGCCATTTTATTGTACTAAAGAGTAAACAAAAACCTGTGACGTCACTATTCCCACAAAGTTTAGTCAAGGTTTTAACATTTTAAAAAAAAATGGGTTATTCTGCGTAGGAATAAATCAATAAATTAATTAACGTCTTTAAATAAATTTGTGATCAACAGTCTGTCTGCATTAAAAAATTATTCTCTACCTGCATACCATTTTACAGCTTTCCAGATAGAGTCGAACATATCACAATTTTCGATCAGGCAAACAAATAAATATTCAAACATGTAAACAAAGTTGACTTTTAGTAGTATATAGATGTTCAGCACAGTACCATTTATGTAAAAGACATATACAATATATTTAAACAATGCTCTTGTCAGATTCCGATACAAGTTAATTAACACAGAAGGGAACAGATTTGTGCGTGACTTACATCTTCTAACCTCTGCTAGCAAAGATCTTCTCATTCAATGTGAATCTCTACACAGGAAAAAGTGTACATAAGTATGGCGAGTTAATCGTTGAACATTTTTTTGCCTTAGCCACCGGCATATATATATAAACAAGGGAGAGAAACGCTGCTTTACTTATACATACAATATGATGGTTACCTTATATAAGAACTTTTCTTTTATGGTAAATATTTTACACTACAAAACTTAACATGGAGATAATAAAAATGCAAGAATGCTCATAAAAAATGAAACCTTCTTTTTGTTCGTTCATACTTTTAGTTGTTTGATGTCCTTTTCAAAATTAAATCTGTGAAATTATAAATGTAATAAATATGTTGGAAATGGAATAAGAACGTTAACTCCAATCAATTAACCCAGTTCACATTACTACATTAGCGATCCATTAAGCAGATGAAGTAGAGCTCATGTTTTTTGACCTCCGTAAGGGATGGTGTGGTTAGCACTTTGCTCAACTGCATTTACTTTCCCTAACATGAGTTAGGTACCCATCAGAGCTGGGTGGACTCAGGGACGTTCTACTGACTTCGACCCGGATTTGTACTAGAGACTTTCGGGTTAGCAGCCTAGCTGCTTCTAATTAATTAAGACATTGTCCCTAAATGCTGACCAACTATCTCTTCATATTGTGCTGTGGTTACATAATAAGATAAACTCTACTTTACCTATCTCTTCATATTGTGCTGTGGTCAAAGAAACAGATACACTCTACTTCACCTATCTTTTCATATTGTGCTGAGGTCTCATACATAGGTCAACACTACTTCACCTATCCTTTTATATTGTGCCGTGGTAATAGAAACAGATAAACTCTACTTCACCTGTCCTTTTATATTGTGCTGAGATTACAGAAACAGATGAAATCTACTTCACCTATTTTTCATATTGTGCTGAGGTCTCATACATAGGTCAACACTACTTCACCTATCCTTTTATATTGTGCTGAGGACACAGAAACAGATGAACTCTACTTCACCTATCCTTTTATATTATGCTGAAGCCACATAAACAGATGAACACTACTTCACCTATCCTTTTATATTATGCTGAGGCGACAGAAACAGAAGAACTCTGCTTCACCTATCCTTTTATATTATCCTGAGGCCACAGAAACAGATGAATTCTACTTCACCTATCCTTTTATATTATGCTGAGGTCACATAAACAGATGAACACTACTTCACCTATCCTTTTGTATTATGCTGATGCCACAGAAAGAGATGAACTCTACTTCACCTATCCTTTTATATTATGCTGAGGCCACAGAAACAGATGAACTCTACTTCACCTATCCTTTTATATTATGCTGAGTCCACAGAAACAGATGAACTCTACTTCACCTATCCTTTTATATTATGCAGAGGTCACATAAACAGATGAACACTACTTCGCCTATACTTTTGTATTATGCTGAGGCCACAGAAACAGATGAACTCTACTTCACCTATCCTTTTATATTGTGCTGAGGTCACACAAACAGATGAACTCTACTTAATCTGCCTCCCGGAATGACACGTTGGAAAATAAACTTTAAATTAGTTAAAACAAAGCAAAAATAATACAATGTCTATTTTCATGTTGAAAATTTTCTTCCTTTCCCGTGTCATCGGGAATTCCCAAAACCGCGTCCATAATTTCAGTGCAATCGGAGATCACTTTGGTGCAATCGGAGATGAACGCGTTTGTTTTTAACCTTGACGACAAAGATAGAGGTAGTATATTCTTATATTTTCTTCAAATAATTTATCTTTACAACTTTACGTAACACTATTGGATCTGTAACATATCGCTACTCTTCACAATAAGTAATTGTTAATGTTTTTATTAAGAAGTTACGGAATTAGTGAGTGTTATTCAGCATGAAATGACTAAAACATTATTACTAGACCAATAGTAATAGCCAACGACATTCATCGTTGTTTGGTTGCTGAGTCGACCAGTTATTACAGACCTAGATCTAGATTTTAGATCTACAAACTATGTCTAGTCACAATGGACAAACAACGTGTTTTAATTGTACATTAGATCTTCTGACAGCTGCACATTAGTAAAAAAATATTACGCTTAAAGCTAGTTTACACATATATTAAAACATGTTATGTAATAGACATAGATCTAGTTCTAGGTCTAGTATGTGATACACATTTGAACTCAATGATCGTATGGGGTCCAGATCTATGATTCGCCCACACACCCATACGCAATGCACATGAAGGAAAAACTGCGAGATTACAAGAAGTAGGAACATATGCTACTAGATCTGATAATGATTCCCAACCTCGTCTACATACCATTGTAAAATTATCTATGATACATCATGACATGGCTAATCCAGTCTTTCTTTATTCTTTACATATTTTTAATTGTAATGTTGAAAGGGATTTACTCCATCACAATTTACTATTACGTGTCAACATGTTATGCGTGTTATGACCCGTTGACACGGATTGCGGGATAGTTGTTTGATTTGGAAGTTGTCTCTCCTAGATAGGATGCTGTCCAGAGCTATCGAGACTCAATTGCAAGGGAGTTAAAAATCCATTTTTAAATACTGCTTCAAAATTAATAAATTACTTACCAATATCTTCCCACGATTCAGGCCGCTAATTTATAATAGGGCAAATGTTTTTCAGTCTTTATTCTCCGGGATGGGGGGGGGGGGGAGTGGGGATGGTGTGGCACTTGAAATTTACGGGGAGGGGGGTGGGAGCAGACTAAATTTTACGGGAGGGGGCACTAGTAAAAGTATATATTTTCTATATAAATTCTATTTCATTCGGGGGAGGGGGAGGTAGGCTTTCCGATGCCTGAAAGAAACTTTGAGCAGGGCGATGGTAAAGTGTACTAGGAAACAATCGTACCGAAGGAATATTGCTGACCCAGGCGATATTAAATGCACCACTAAACTCATCAAAAGATCAATTGTCATCTGTGGAGACAAGAAAACAATATTTTACTCCCAGCAAGGAGGTTGAAGTTGAAGCTGTTCAGCAGTAGGTCACAGATCCGAATTCCCTCATTTTACATGTGGTGGTCTCCTACATTTCCCACGATTCAGGCCGCTAATTTATAATAGGGCAAGTGTTTCTTTCAGTCTTTATTCTCTGGGATGGGGGGGGGGTGAGTGGGGGGGATGGGGTGGCACTTGAAATTTACGGGGAGGGGGGGGGGGGTGGGAGCAGACTAAATTTTACGGGAGGGGGCACTAGTAAAAGTATATATTTTCTATATAAATTCTATTTCATCCGGGGGAGGGGGGTAGACTTTCCGATGCCTGAAAGAAACTTTGAACAGGGCGATGGTAAAGTGTACTAGGAAACAATCGTCCGAAAGAATATTGCTGACCCAGGCGATATTAAATGCACCACTAAACTCATCATATGAAAAGATCACATTTCATCTTTGAAGACAAGAAAACAATGTTTTATACCCAGCAAGGAGGTTGAACTTGAAGCTGTTCAGCAGAAGGTCACAGATCTGGATTCCCTCATTTTACATGTAGGGGTCTCCTTCATTAAAACGCGGGATAGGGTCGGAGTGGTCGAGTAGGTAAAGCTCATGGTTCATAACCGAAAAGTCTCGAGTTCAAACCATCGGGCAGATGAGGCTTGTTAACGGGGGACAGCGACTCTTCTAGGAGAGACAACTCAATAATCAAATAAATTCTGCTTTGTAATTTGCTTTTGGACAGACAAAGATTATGAATGCAAATCCAAAAAGAAAAGCAGTCTGAAATCGGAGTCAATGGCGCATAACCTGTTAACACTAAATACTTAATTGTGTTAAGTAGAATTAAGAACGAAGAAGCAGAAACGTGGGACAATAAAAAATCCAAGTGCAAACTTTGTCATCTCCAATATTTCACTCATGCCATTATATAATCCTGTGATACATCATTTCATGGACTATGTAGTCTTTCTAAATCACAATTTAAATTTAATATTTTTACACACGAGCAGAACAATTTCAATTTTTACTAGTGACAAATGTGTGTTGGGCGATAACCAATCAAAATTTATAATAAAGCGTGTGAGTTTACTCATGTGTTGCGAAAAGCGTTAGCTTGCTGTGCTGAATACTGTTCTTGATAAAAAGATTGTTCGTTTTTTTTTCTTTTCATTTACTTGTGCAGGTGTTTCCAATAAAATAAGTAAGTAAGTAAAGTTCCCTTTCAAACCTGACGGTCTATGGGGCAAGTGAAGTAGAGTTCACTTGTTTCTGCGACTTCGGCATATAAAGAGATAGTGTGGTCAGTACTATGCCCAGCCGCCTTTACTTACCATAACGTGAGTTAGGTACCCATCAGAGCTGGGTGGACTCAGGGACGGTCTACTGAATTGAACCCGGATTCGAACTCGAGAATTACGGGTTATGAGCAGTTCAGCTCTCTTCCGCTAGTCCACTCCAATAACATAGCAATGTCTATAATTTGACCTTTCTGTTTGCTCGACGTTAGTCGTTGACTAAGAAGGTAGATAACTTCGAAATTTTAGTCTTAAAATGTTAGTGTCCATTTGATTCCTACACATCTTTTCATAAGCCATGACTCATCAGTAAACACATCAGTGGGGAGAGCAAATATTATTGGTTTACTTTATTTTAATGGATTCTCATTATTTGACATTGTGTATCACTGGCAAATATAATTGGTTTACTTTATTTTAATGGATTCTCATTTTTTGATATTGTGTATGACTGGCAAATATCATTGGTTCACTTAACCTGAATGGATTCTCATTATTTGATATTGTGTATCCCTGGCAAATATCATTGGTTCACTTAACCTGAATGGATTCTCATTATTTGATATTGTATATTCCTGGCAAATATCATTGGTTCACTTAACCTGAATGGATTCTCATTATTTGATATTGTATATTCCTGGCAAATATCATTGGTTCACTTAACCTGAATAGATTCTCATTATTTGATATTGTATATTCCTGGCAAATATCATTGGTTCACTTAACTTGAATGGATTCTCATTATTTGATATTGTGTATCCCTGGCAAATATCATTGGTTCACTTAACCTGAATGGATTCTCATTATTCGACATTGTGTATCACTGGCGTTCTGGGTTGTGACTTTGTTTTCCGATCATCATTTCCCGTTAGTGCCCAAGACACAGAGGAAGTAGAGTTCATCTGCTTCAGAGACACGGCATATGAGCGGATAGTGTGGTCAGCACTATGCCCAGCCGCCTTTATCTCCCTAACGTGAGTTAAGTACCCATCAGAGCTGGGTAGACTCATGGACGTTCCACTGATTCGAACGCTGATCGAACTCGAGACTCTCGGGTTAGCAGTATATTTCTCTACCGCTAGGCCACGCCTTACCATATAAGCGATATAAGGTTATCCAAACATTTTTAATATTGTATTATGTTTCTACAATTTTCTAGTCCATGGAAAAATATACACAATATAGAGCTCCAATTTTATGCTTTGCTTTATGATATTTCTAGATGTTGCAGTACAATCTGTGCAGAACTCGACTTTTCTAAAAAATAGTATGCATTAGTTTAGTATAAATAGAAATGATACTTTGCAATTAATTGTGTAGTTTTATTTGGCGTTTATTTGGTAGTTTATATAATGGAAAGCTTTGTTTTTTTTAATCTTGAGGTAGTATTTTAGAATCATATAATAATTATAATTACACAAAGAAAATGATAAACATTTCTGCCGTTTGGTATGGGCTTAATTTATGAACTCAAGATTTCTGCTTTATAGCAGTATAGCTTTGATGTCTTTCGAAAACTTCAGTGTTCTTTTTGTTTCGGTTACGAATAGAGATTTTATATTTTATATTAACTTTTAAAAGTTTTTTTTTCTTTCAGAAAACCAACAGCTATATCCGCCATGTTTCCATCTGCGAGTGCCTCTCTAGATTATGATGATAGGTCCCTTGACGTCCCAATGGCCAAGGAGGTTTTTAAATGCTTGAGAAACAACATGGCTAACTGTACTGACTACACAGTCCATGTTGGCGGCACCAAGTTCAACTGTCACAAGTTTGTCTTAAGTTCCTGCTCTGGTTACTTTGACGCTCTTATAAAGACAGATGTAAGTGAAAAAAAATCGGAATCAAGCTGTACCATAGAGGGCATCGCGCCAGAAATATTTGGTCTGATACTTGATGTGATTTATAAAGGGAAGCATGTTTTAACAGAAGAAAACATGCTTGAACTGTGGCACGCGTCCTCTCAACTGCAGATGCAATTTTTAGTTTCGGCTTGCGAGAAATTCGTGAAAGAAAACATCACGTTGCAAAACTACTGGATAATTTATCAACAAGCTAAACTCTTGGACTCGTGTGTAATTATTAAAAAAGTCAGAAAGTTAATGGTGAATAATTTCCCGAGGATTGTCGAGTCGAAAGTTTTCATGCAACTTTCGTTGGACGACATAATACACTTGTTGACGAAGAATTCGTTCGAAAGAACCTCGCTTGTCGTGAACGCAGTTTTAAAATGGACTTGTTCAGATGACTCGTATCTTACGACTGAAGCAGATACAGATAGCAGAGGGCTGGGTACCAGTAAGGCAGATAGTGACGCTGTCAAAGAAAAATCTGGAAAGGATGATCTAAGAACAACTGACGGGATCAACCCCACACTTCGTCGATCATACCTCGGTCTCTTGCTGGCTTTAATTCCTCTCAAAGATGCGACGGAGTCATGCCTGATCAAACTTACGAACAACAAACACGTCATGGAAAATACAGGTGCCATAACTCTTGTAAGGCAGCTGGGTGCTAAAGCACTGGGTGGTAGAAAATCACCTGGTCTTTCAAAACGCTTCAAGTCAAATTCATACTCCGAGAATTCCAGTTCATCGGATGAAGCCAAAAGAATCAGAAAAAGAAGACTCAGAAAATACTGTAAAATACATTCACATTCGAGCAAATCAAGCGAGTCGGACGAGCCTTACTTAATGAACGATCCTTACTTAATGGACGATCCTCAGCCCACGATATTCGATCGATTTTTGTTTGCTCTTTATGTCGTCTTGGGCGTCTTGGCCTTCATCTTTGCAATCTTGGTCTTGCAATTGCTACTCTACTAGATTATACGTGACGACTTTGTCATCTCTAGGATGATTCGCCACTCCCTTGGCAAACGCAAATAATAAAAAAAAAAAAAACACTGCATGCAAATCGACCGAGCCATTTAAAAACTTACACCGCTATTACATTTATTATTTAGTATGTAACTTTTTACTGCTTTCAATGTCCTTTATAACATAGATACAAGATTTTTTTTTTGAAAACCATAATTTTGATTTTCAATGCTGTAATGAGTTATAAACAGGCTATGTAATTGAGTACTAATTTATAGACCACTTGTGACTAAACTATTTTAACGTTCGGTTACATTTATATAAAAAAGTACCAATCGATTTCAATGAAATGGAACATCTTTACCTGGAAAGACAAACATAGTGAGATTGTAGAACTAAGCCTTTTGCCATACAGTTGGTAATTAATTACGTTATTACGTAATTTGTAAAGCAATAATGTACACCTTTTTTTTTTTAAAACAATGAAGTTGAGCAGTTAGGCGTCATTTTCATAGAATTCTAACACTGACTTAAAGAATGTATAAAAACTTTGTTAAATATGGTATTCTTAGATATCTTTAAAAGACCAGTTAACGCAAGAAGAAAGCGAATGTATGTAACTGTGATACAGACCATCTGATGTATGCTTGCAAGGCCTAGGTAACATATAATGTTTACTTACACAGAAGTAAGGGTGTATGTGTACGTGTATCATAAAAAACCCGTGGTCAGGGATTACTACATAATGGTTAAAGAATATAAACTCATGAGAGTAATAATGAGTTATCTATTAATACTATATATATTTATATTTAATTCTTTAAGTAACATTTAATTCTATAAAATAACATACATGATTCATCCTATAAATACCATTTTAATTTCAAGATTTTTTTTTTAGATAAATGAGAGGATATGATAGTTTTTATAAATTTTTATACGGACGTTCTATTTATGATAGATTATTTACATTTTAAACATTGCATCATGCTAATAAAGATGTGAGACTTATCATGAAAAATTAACACAGTTTTTAATTTTGTGTTGTAAAATTCTGTGAAATGTTGTATGTTACAAATATATTGCAAGTATTATATACCTCAAATTTAACAAAAGTTCCGGTGAACACTTGTTGAGAAAGGCAGTACTAAAACACAATACTGGTAAATTTAACATATGCTAATGCATGAAATAAGTTGTTTAGAAATTCTATCGGCAAAGTTTTTGATCAGTGTTTCCAGACTTTATTTTCTCCGGGGGGTGGGGGGAGAGGGGGGGGGGGGCGGACACAATTTACGTATATAAGAAACAACGAAAATATCATAGATACATAAGCGGATTGTCAAACAAATCTAAAACTTATGTCGTTTTTTAAATTTAGCTGTGATTTTCAAAGCTTCAAAATTCCATACACAATAATTGACTAATTGGACATATATAAACAATGTTAAAATGTTTTGTGGAAAGCATTACACACACACACACACACATACACACACACACGCACGCACACGCACACACGCACGCACCCACACCCACACAAACACGCATGTACGCACACGCACACACACACACACACGCACACAAGCATGCATGCACATGCGAATTTCTGGTAAATTTACGCAAGTTAAATTATTGACGGAAAATTGTTTTCCATCTCCATGTTGTAATGAAATGATTAGTTGTAGATTTCCTAACAAAAAACGTTGCATGAAACTAACCTTTTTAGGCGCTAAAAGCCCATACAAAATTAAACATTTACAAATAAAAGATACATAATTAGTTGTAGGCCTAAATGTATTATTGCTTAAGCTATAGCCATGTAAAAATAATACATAAAAAGTACGAACATCTTTGTCCCAATGTAATTATTTTCCAAATAATTATCATTTTTTTGAAAATCGCTGAATATAGTATAAAAAACATTCAGTTATAATTTGATTGAATTGTTGCAAGAGTCAAAAAGCTCATTAGAGGCATAATATTCTCTGAATAAATGAAACAAAAGGCTGAAAATACTCCAGGATTTTGTTTGTTAAATAATCAACAATGTTTGATGCATAATTTTAATTTTTTTACACAAAACATACTGACAAGGCTATATGTTCCAACATTGGTAGGATCAGGATTTACGTTTTTTTAATAACAAAATTATTAAAATCATTTTTTAGCTTTTAAATAAATAAACAAAAAATATTTTTTACGCTTAAAACAACAAAAAACGCCGTGGGAGATATAGGCCTACAATACAAAATATAATTTCATATGTAACTAAATATTAAGCTTAAGGCAGAATACCTTTTCTACCAACATTTTGTTTGACGCTTCATCTGTTTTCTAGCAAGTTACTAACTTTAGAAAAAAATAATAACAAAATGTAACTGATCTAACACCGCGATAAAGTGGTTATTTATAAGCTAATCTGATTTTTTATTTACAATGTCAGACTAAAAATATCTTAAATTCCAACACACTGCTTACATATTATTTCATGCCATGACAATGTTAGTTTGTTAAGCAATGTACTTAAACGGTCTAATATTTGAAGATTAGTTTCGAATTTGTAGGATTTGATCTTCGTGTTTTCAAATGCTAACGTTAATGGACACCTTAGGCCTGAAGGAAGTTTTTGTGAAGACTTATTTAAAATTGGTGTCGTTTTAATTTTTAACTCTATGATCTTTCTGTTACAGTCGAGCTAGCATTGTGTCCAAACAATAACATAATTACCTCCTTATATTAGTAAATTTAAATAAAGAACTCTTTGAAGATGCAATTTAACAAAAAATAGAAATATTCAAATTCCAATTTATTTACTTACGAGCCGACCCGCGGCATATCATACGCCGCTATTTAATTGTTTTATTTTCTACTTTTCAGTAATTCATAATTTGTGAATTCGACAGTAGGCCTACCTATGCTGCCACTGAAAATATTTGCTTTAAAACACTATCAGTAGGTCGTTAAGGACGATACTACACCCACCCTCATTTCCCCCAACCCCAACCCCAACCACTACCCTACACCCCCCCCCCCCCCGTGAAAGCAGCCTCCTCTTAGTTACCTCCCCTAAGTTTAAAATCGTTTCTAACTAAATTATCTGCCCATAATAGCTGTCACTAAACCCGGCTCCACGAATGTAAACATTTAGCGTGAACCACAGCTCACCAGACCATGTAGGGGTGGGTTGGTAGGGAGCGCGCTCACAGCTTGTTTTCTAGCGTCTCCAAGAAGAGAATTATATATATATATATATATATATATATATATATATATATATATATATATATATATATATATATATATATATATAGATAGATATTATTGGTGAACGTACAGGGTGTGGTAGAATTGGGTAGGTGAAGAGAGGTTAGGTTCACCTAGGAAAGTGATAAGAAAGTTTTGGAAAGTTTAGGTGAATTTACGTATCTACAGTTTATGTTAGGTAATGTTAGATCAGACGCTCAATAAGGCGATGTAAGTTTTTTGAAGTGAGGTTGGACAAGACAGAGATAACCTTTGACCTTAAGACGATTAGCATAGTCTATGAAAACTCTAGAGATTGACAGTCTCTTCTAAGATCAGTGCACCATCGCATGTCTCCTGGTGTAGAGTTTCTTACACCCGTATTAAAGGTAAGTTATCTTGTGTCTACCCAGTTTCTTCCAGGCATCTGTTCGGGGGGGGGGGGGGCTTTGCCCCATCGAAAAAATTCTACCGCCTCCCCCCCCCCCCCCCGAACGAAATGAAATTTATATAATTTATACAGAAAAATAAAAATGTAACAGTGTCCGCCCCTCCGAATAAAGTCTACCGCCCCCCACCCCCTCCCCCCCCCGAAAATTTCAAGTGCCCCCCCGGAGAAAAAAGTCTGGAAGAAACACTGTGTCTACCTAGTGAGTTCAGTTTTGTTATTCCTATTCAGCTGTGTTTAGTTTGCTGTACTATACGGTAAATATTGGACCATTTTAGCAAAAGGATATGGTTTAGTTATTGTAGTTATGTTTGTTCGCTACACACCCCACAGCAAGCCAATATTTCTACTCTACACAATCATAATGAGCTGCGCTTGAAGAAGTTTGTAACAAGGTAATACCCTAGCGTCGGGAATTCCCAATGCGTCTAGGCTTGGTTTTGTAAGTGTTGGTGCGATCATAGTTGAACACAACTGTTGTTATTGCTGACGGCAAACTAAAAGGTAATGTTTTTTTTAGAATCTATAAAATTATATTAGTTAACCTTCTTAGATTTGTATTCTAAAGGTAGAACAGTAAAATATTTCCATTCGGCACAGTAAGATTTTAATTTAAATGCCTTTTACGGATATGGGTATACAGTAAACAGGTTGTGTATTTCATAACAAAATCTAACAAACGACCAATACACACTAGCTAACATTGGCTAACAAATACTAACAACATATTTGCTAAAAGAACTGCTGGAAATAGAAGCATAATGGCGAAAATCAGTGACGCTGTAAAGGGGATTTTGATAACAACGGCGCGAAAAGTTGCGAAAATTAAATATATATATTTATCAGCGATGTCGGTACACTATGAAAGGAAAGTAGATACATGAACCGAAAAACGACTCAGAGAAAAATGCCAAATTAAATTGAGACAAAACAGGCAAAATGATCGTTTACAAAACAGGCAAAATGATCGCTTACAAAACAGGCAAAATGATCGTTTACAAAACAGGCAAAATGATCATTGACAAAAGTGGCAAAATGACCGTTGACAAAACAGGCAAAATGATCGTTTACAAAACAGGCAAAATGATCATTGACAAAACAGGCAAAGTGATCGTTGACAAAACAGACAAAATGATCATTGACAAAACAGGCAAAATGATCGTTGATAAAACAGGCAAAATGATCGTTGACAAAACAGGCAAAATGATCATTGACAAAACAGGCAAAATGATCATTGACAAAACAGGCAAAATGATCGTTGACAAAACAGGCAAAATCAACAGTGACAAAACAGGAAAAATGATCGTTGACAAAACAGGCAAAATAATCATTGACAAAACAGGCAAAATGATCTTTGACAAAACAGGCAAAATTACCGTTGAAAAAACAGGCAAAATGATCGTTGACAAAACTGGCAAAATGACCGTTGACAAAACAGACAAAATGATCGTTGACAAAACAGGCAAAATGATCATTGACAAAACAGGCAAAATGATCATTGACAAAACAGGCAAAATGATAATTGACAAAACAGGCTAAATGACCTTTGACAAAACAGGCAAAATGACCTTTGACAAAACAGACAAAATGACCGTTGACAAAACAGGCAAAATAATCATTGACAAAACAGGCAAAATGATCTTTGACAAAACAGGCAAAATGGCCGTTGACAAAACAGGCAAAATGATCGTTAACAAAACTGGCAAAATGACCGTTGACAAAACAGGCAAAATGATCGTTGACAAAACAGACAAAATGACCGTTGACAAAACAGGCAAAATGATCGTTGACAAAACAGGCAAAATGACCGTTGACAAAACAGGCAAATTGACCGTTGACAAAACAGGCAAAATGATAGTTGACAAAACAGGCAAAATGACCGTTGACAAAACAGGCAAAATGATCGTTGACAAAACAGGCAAAATGACTGTTGACAAAACAGGCAAAATGATAGTTGAGAAAACAGGCAAAATGATAGTTGAGAAAACATGCAAATATGATAATTGACAAAACAGGCAAAATGACCGTTGATAAAACAGGCAAAATGATCATTGACAAAACAGGCAAAATGATCATTGACAAAACAGGCAAAATGATAATTGACAAAACAGGCAAAATGACCTTTGACAAAACAGACAAAATGACCGTTGACAAAACAGGCAAAATGATCGTTGACAAAACAGGCAAAATGACCGTTGACAAAACAGGCAAAATAATCATTGTCAAAACAGGCAAAATGACCTTTGACAAAACAGACAAAATGACCGTTGACAAAACAGGCAAAATGATCGTTGACAAAACAGGCAAAATGACCGTTGACAAAACAGGCAAAATGAATGTCGTAAAAGTAAAAGTACGCCTGAGTTAGTTCATCAGACCCAACAACAACAAATAATGAAAATACTAAGATAGATATGCGTTACATTTACGTCAAGGTGATTACTAAATACACATAGATACATATGCATTACATTTACGTTAAGGTGATTACCAAATACACTTAGATACATATGCATTACATTTACGTTAAGGTGATTACCAAATACACTTAGATACATATGCATTACATTTACGTTAAGGTGATTACCAAATACACTTAGATACATATGCATTACATTTACGTTAAGGTGATTACCAAATACACTTAGATACATATGCATTACATTTACGTCAAGGTGATTACCAAATACACATAGATACATATGCATTACATTTAAGTCAAGGTAATTAACAAAAATACAAAGATAAATATGCATTACATCTAAGTCAAAGTGATTATCTTAAATTAAAAGATACATATGCATTACATCTAAATCCGGGGAATCGCCAAAATACGCTCAGGACTTTATATTTGACTTCACTGAAGCGATCGAATAACCAAGCTCACAGTAGATGTATGTCTCAAGTAGCTGCGGATCTACACAACCTTATATGTGGTTTCAAAATATTACTGCGACTAGAAAAGCAAAAAAGACGGGATATCAAAACGTCGAGTAGATAATAATGATATTCTAGAAAAGAAATAATTCTAGTGTGCAACATAGCAAAACCTACGATCCAACTCCTAGAACAAAAATCTTTCTTTGTTGTCCACAATTCCTAAACACGAAACTCCAGCTTATATAATTACAGGTTTAATATAGACACAGCTATCATGCGAATAGTTTTGCTCATTTTTACTAAATATCACACATAGATAAGCTAATATAATATAGCTATCTATATAATTCTCTTCTTGGAACCGCTAGAAAAAACCAAGCTGTAAGCGCGCCTAGCAGTCCCCTCTCTTCCTCTCTAGGCATATCGTTACAACCCCCATCCCCACATGGTCTGGTGATCTGTGGTTCACGCTAAATGTTTACAATCGTAGAGCCGAGTTTAGTGACGGCTATTAGGGACAGATAATATAGTTTGAAACGATTTTAAACTTACGGGAGGTAACTAAGAGGAGGCTGCTATCACTGGTGGGGGGGGGGGGGGGGGGTTATCGTTCTTAACGACCTACTGATAGTGTTTTAAAGCAAATATTTTCAGTGGCAGCATTGGTACTGTCGGATTCACAAATTATGAATTACTGAAATGTAGAAATAAAACAACTAAATAGCGGCATATGATACGCCGCGGGTCGGCTCGTACTAATAGAAACTCTAATTCTAGTTAAATTTAAACGAAATGATAGACTCAAATACTTCTGCTTAAAGTATTACTTCTAAAAAAAATAAGTTTGCCTTTAAGTTCCTAAAATAAAATTTGTTTAATAAACCAAAATTCGCATTTTTTTTTCTTCTTCTTCGTCCTTGATTTTAGCGTTGGAAAAGATCCCCTCCAACACAATAATGTATACGTGTCAACTGGTTATGCGCCATTGATGCAATTGACTCCGATTTTAGCCTACTTTTCTTTATGGATTTTCTTCCATAGCCTTTGTCCAACCAAGAACAAAATACAAGGCAGCAGTTGTTTAATTTTGGAGTTGTCTCTCCTAGAAGAGTGGCTGTCCCCAGCTAACGAGCCTATTCTGCCCAAGGGTTCAAACTCGAGACATTTCGGTTAAGCAACCATGAGCGTTAACGCCTCCACCACGCCGATCTATCTTTACTACAATGAATATATTTAAATTCTTATTTAATTTTTCCCCCAGAAAACCACCATCTACAGCCATGAATTATTCCACCTGTGTGTCCCTATTTGACGGGGTCGACTTTCACGTAGCTAAGGAAGTTTTCCAATGTTTCCAAAACAACATGGGAAAATTCACAGACTTTACCGTCAACGTTGGCGACACCAAGTTCAACTGTCACAAGTTTGTCCTAAGTTCCTGCTCTGGTTTCTTTGAGGCTCTTATAACAGATATGAGAGAAAAATCTGAATCAAGCTGTACCATAGAGGGCATCTCGCCAGAAATATTTGGCCTTATACTAGAAGTCATCTATAAGGGGAAACATACTCTAAATGAAGGAAACATGTTTAAAATGTGGCACGCATCCAAACAACTGCAGATCAAATTTTTAGTTTCATTATGTGAAAACGTCGTGAAGGAGAGAGTAAATTTACAAAACTACTGGCAAATATTTACTGATGCTAAGCTGCTGGATTCATGTGACGTCATGGCTAGAGTAAAAGAATTTATGGTGATCATTTTTTCAAAGTTTGTAGAATCAAGCGTCTTCATTGAGCTTTCTTTGGACGATTTAAAATACATTTTAACTGACAATAATCGGTATGTTAAAACCGATTTAGTCGTGCAGGCCATTTTGAAATGGACATTTTCAAATGACTCTCTTCTCACAAATGAGCCAAATAAAGATATCACAGCGCCATGCACAGCTGAGGCGGAAAACGATCCTCGAGATGGAAATACAAACAATACTACAAAGGACACGGGTGACTTACCACTCCGAAGATCATACCTTGGTCAGTTACTTGCATTAGTCCCTCTCAAGGAAACAAGCAATGCCTGCCTGGCTAAGCTAATGAACAACCGATTCGTCATGGAGGATTTAGATGCCATAGCTCTTGTAAACAAGATCGCTGCTACAAGATTTGATGCCACAGAAAAAGAGAATGTGCATCAGGGCAAAAAAGTGATTTTTAAAGACTTGAAAGTGACTTCACTTTTATCACTATCAAGCTCTAGCGATGAATTAGACTCTATGACCAAAAACCAACTTAACTCTTGGTCTAGATCTAATACAAAAGAACAACCTCTAGGAAAAAAGGTCGCTGCCACAAGAATTGATAAAATGAAAAAAAAGAAGATTTTTCTTGACAAAAAAGGCAACAAAATAATGTTCAAAGACTTGAAAGTGCATCCCCTTTTAATACAATCCGACTCGGATGATGACGCTGACCCCATCACAAAAAGAAGACGGTACAACCCGCCGAAATCTTATGCAACGAGAAATGCACAGCCTCTAGTAGACAAGTTCGCTGCTACAAATTTTGGTGCCACGGAAACATTGTTTACACATCAAGACACATTTATGAATGCAAACAAAATCATTTCAAAAGACATAACATCGAATTTTTCTGATGTGTTTTGTCACGCGACAATAATATTACCCAGCTCTGCTTCTAAATCTGATAAAATGAAAAAAGACCAGTCCAGCTCAGCTGGTGGACTTGATCGAACCGCGGCTAGAAGAGTTACACCATTAGGCAGATATAGCAACTATAGATTTCTGTATTTCCTGCTCCTTGTATCTACTTGTACTTTTCTCTGTTTCTTTTTAATAACATTGATAATCTGTTAAATTATTCTATTAACATTCTTATGTATAACACATCTGTCTATTTATAACCATAAACAAGGGTTTATATGGCTTAAATCAATTGATCTGTGAAGAACTGCAAATCACAACTATAACATTCTTAATCACCAATCTCATTGTCTCGAAGCATTCATCATTTAAAAAAAAAGTATACTTAATTATTTCCTGTTTTTTTTAAAACTGCAACATTGATTTATGTTTAAGTTAACATATGCATTTTTGATGAGCACATGTAACCAGCGACAGGTCGGATATTTCAGGGTCTAAATTGAGCTGAGGTCTGTTTAAAATACTCACTTGACCTATGCATTTACGTCGATTCAGCTAATTCTCTTTTAGTTTCGTTGTATTTGTGAAACGTAAATGTGTAATAATCTACCAGTATAGGCTATTAAATACATTTAGTAGCAAGAATAGCCTTTCTTTTAATTGAGAATAGCCTTTGTTTGTTTAAAGCACCAGCACTGATTGAAATAAGCAATTATTTGGATAATGTACAAGTACGAGTTGATTAACAAAGTAGTGTGCACATTTTGACTGGGCTTTTTACCATCGAGTGTATTCTAGTATGGATCAGAAAATATCAGATATAATTTGTCAATGCTGAGAATGTATATACACATGAGGTCGATCCACAAAAAGTGGATGCTGTAACATTCAAAACTTGGTGCTCAAACATTTTATATTGTTTTATTATTACAAAAATTTATCTTATTACTTTATATAAACATAACATGAAGATTAAATAAAGGTGATCATTGTAACAAAGTTTTAAAATACTGTTTGATCTTTTAGTTGTGTTGTTAACATGCCGAAAATTTTCAAATCGTGAAGGGCATAGATTCATTTAATATAAACCACTGTATTAATTAGTCTATTGTGTTCATAGAAAATTAGTAGGTTTGAAGATATTTCCTTCTTAGATTTCTGACTTTTTGATAAAACTTTTTTAGCTTTTCTTATTTAAACGAGACTATAGCAGCCGTTTATTCCATTACAATTTGGGCGTGGTTTGTCATTGTCTATGTCATAATTAAACGGCCTAATCAGTAGCTACGGGTTCGGTCCAACGTTCATATGTAGAATCCATCTGGGACTCTGAAGCTCAGTATGGCCAGTTCTATGCACAGCCGACGTAGTTACCCCGAAACTTGAGTCAGATATCAATCCAAGTTGGCAGAACTCAAGTCAGACATACAGATTCTATACTGAGTTTCGATAACAAAACTTTAGTTTCATGTTTTCTAAAAAAAAACAAAAATAAAATAAAATAAATTAAATAGGTGTTTTCCTAATTTAATTCTTAAAACTTCAAAGTGTGTTCGTAATCAGCAACCGAAGTGTTTTTTTTTTGAGGCCTTATGAAATTACAATTCGTAACGCCACAAATAATTCTGTCAGGCTGACGAATTTCTAGCGACGGATACGCAAAGGTCACCTACTATTGCCAATAGAGTAACAGCAGTAGGTATATAGCATACGAAACATGCGCAAAATCTTAGTCTAAATTATTTTTATAAAAAAAAAAACTCGAAAAGTCTATATAACATGTTCAACGGAAAAAAAGTGTCTCATTACGCCTCAAGTTATTTAGGAATATTGTTATTGAAAGCTAAATTAAAAATTATTACTTTTTTTTTGGATAAACATTTTGTTTTGTTTGAGAATTGGATATTTGAGTTTCTGCTTTAAAATGTTCATTTAAAAAAAAACAACCTCAGAACTTAAGAGAGTTTTGTTATACTCAAATATATAGAGCTATAGTGTTTCGACCTTACGACAATTCGTCGTTCACTACCACAAGTATTGAGATGTGCAGTGTCTTGTACTATCAGTGAAATATTACGTGTCTATTGTTGTAGATTCACGGGTTCCTGCATTGCAACTGTGAAGTTTAATTCTTTTGTGGGGACCGAAGGAACTTGAAGTTTTTGAGAAAGGATAATGTCGTCAGTACTATGCCCAGCCGCCTTTACTTTGCCAAACGTAAGTTAGGTACCAATCAGAGCTGGGTGGTTTCAAGGGCGTACTACTGATTTGAACCCGGATTTGAATCTAAGACTTTGGGGCTAGAAGTCTAGCTTTCTACCACTAGGCCACGCCGTTACATATAGAACACTATACTCCTCACGATAGAGCAGTAGTGTTTTCCTAAATAGCAATAGTGTTTGACTTAACACTCTATAGCGATAGTGATTGAGTAAACCCTATTGAGTAGTAGTGTTTGACTCCACTCTATAGAGCAGTAGTGTTTAAATAAAACCTATAAAGCAGTAGTGTGACTCCACTCTATAGAGCAGTAGTGTTTGACTCCACTCTAAAGAGCAGTAGTGTTTGACTCCACTCTATAGAGCAGTAGTGTTTGACTCCACACTATAAAGCAGTAGTGTTTGACTCCACTCTATAGAGCAGTAGTGTTTGACTCCAATCTATAGAGCAGTAGTGTTTGACTCCACTCTATAGAGCAGTAGTGTTTGACTCCACTCTATAGAGCAGTAGTGTTTGACTCCACTCTATAGAGCAGTAGTGTTTGACTCCACTCTATAGAGCAGTAGTGTTTGACTCCACACTATAAAGCAGTAGTGTTTGACTCCACTCCATAGAGCAGTAGTGTTTGACTAAACCCTAAATAGCAGTGGTTTCAAAACAAATGCCACATATTGTTACATGATTGTCCTTAAGGAAGATGTGAAAGATTTAGCCATCTGTGTAAGTGTGGTTATATCTTAGTGTTTTATAATGCAAATGTTATCAACAAATCAGGTTTGAAGGTTGGTTTGTAATTCAGCACTTAACCGTTGGGCCACGCCTTCGCATGCTTACCATACAGTAAATAAATTGTACAAAGTTAGCAAAAAATGTTTGTCATTGAGTCATTGTAGACCCGTTTGTTACATGACAATGTGAGCACGTATTCGACGTTCTACACACTTTTAGCTGTGTTTTAATAAGAATGTCGTAATATAATAATACTCTATCATCGGGGATTCCCAAATTCGGCATTCGTTGTTTTAGTGCAATCGCAGTTGAACGTGACTATTTTGTTATCAATGGCGGCAAACTAAAAACTAATGTCACCTGTATACTTAATTTAAGGGGGCAGGTACACCCAGAATTATTGAAAAATCGTTTTTTTCGAATACTGTTGTATGGTGAATGTTATTTTATTCAGAATCCATTTCTCTATCCGTCTGTATGCATTAATTTGACCTGAGTGAAGTAGTTTTTTAGTTATTAGCTTCCGAAGTGGGTAGGGGTAGTCCGTCAGAATGTAAAAAAATGGGGAAAATGTCGGACGGCAAGCCTTTTACAACACTCGGAAACGAACGATATAATAATAAATATAAACAATAAACACTCCCTTTACTATTAGAATAATTAGCTACTCCCTATTTCAAAATAGATCTACTTCCTATTTAATATTTTTATTATTTTATACTTGGAATAATGACACATTTCGCGGTTGAGGTATTAAAATTTACTAAAACTAAACTAATATAGAAAGTGAGTTTTCTAAGTATAAAAGATTGTTATATGCAATCTACAGCTAGTGAAACTAGAAAAAGACATAGATTATGTTTATTTAAAATAAAACAGACTACCTTGCTGAGTAATAAAAATACATAAATAAAAATAAAAGTTTGTTTACATTTGGTAACCAGGTGGACACACCCACAAAGTCAAAACAAAAAATATAATATACATTGATGCAGACTCAAGATTCTACTAAATAGAATGATACATAGGAAAAGTACTTCTCAATGGTGATTCTGAATAAAACAAAACTAAATATTAAAGTCAACCATCTGGAAAATTATGTTGATAATGTGATAATAAATTAGTATAGACAGCAATTCTCTGAGAAACTATTTCATCACACTTGTGTGTCATTGATGTAACTGTTTCTTAGAAATGAAAGAAAGGGGCTAGCCAGTTCATGCATATTTAATTGTAATAATACAAAATGAAACAGATAATCTGGTTGTTTCTAAGCTTATCCTCTCAGCTGTTGGTTTTTTTTTTTAAATATTGTGAACAGATGAACTGCATTTGTGACGCAAAGCTGAGGCGCGGAAAGGTCAGATTAGTTTTTTGCCTTATAATGGACTTGCATAAAGTAAAAACACCAATGCCAATGGTCATACCATATAGAACACATTATTACCTCCTTACAGAAGTCATTGAAGCTATAAGACCAGTCTGCAGAAGTCCTTGCTAAGACATAGGAGGTAGCAAAGTGACTCAATAGCTACACCCAAACCCAGAATGAGTCACTCAGCAACATGATAGGGAAGTAATTCCAAAAGAAAAGGAATCATTCTGTAATAATTGGAGACTTCTATAGCAATGGCAGAAGCTATATTTAGTTATGGAACACTATTCTGATGGTTTGCTGAGGGTGATAGACAAACATCCAGGATAACTCTGTTGGAATTCTGCAAAACCGCAGATGTGTCGTATGTTACAAAAAAACAAAAAAACAGACATTTTGGGCTTTCAAGACTCTTTGTCAGGTCAGAAAGCACTAGGAATTAGGTGCTGAGGAGAAAGAATCTGAAAAACAGTGCTATCCTTACTAAGCTGGAGTGTATTGGCTGTTTTCATGGAAGAAAATCAACTTTTTTTAGTATACGAAAAGTTTGCGAAAAACGACATGTTTGCAAATTGTCTTCCAGTTATTTTCCACAATTATTGTTCGATTGTGATAAAACTTTGCACACACATTCCCTGATGTAGTGGCTATGGTATGAACCAAAATCTTTTACCTAGGTGTTATACTTTTTTAGATATGTAGGGCTATGTTCTGCTGTTTTCTCAAAATTTTAGCACATTTTTCAAATTTGTGTCATGGACAAACCATAATGGTTAGTAACATGAGACTGGTTCATACCATAGCCATACATGTCTTTTAGATGCATTGAAAGTGTTACAGCTGTGTACTTGATACTTTGGTTTAAATTAGTTCTACAGTTGGGGTCATTTTTTATATATCGCGGATGACTTACATTTTAAAATTATTTTTAAAAAAAATCTTTACTTCATAGATAAACTTATTTCCTTACATTTGCCATATAATAGATTATGTAAGCTATACTGGTACCAAATTTGGCAACTGTAAGTCTAATAGTTTTTTTTTGGTAAATTGTTTAGTAAGGTAACCATGTTCTGGGTGTATCTGCCCCCTTAACTTGTTTTTAAACTTTGTATAAAGAAGGTACAGGTATAAAATATTACAAATATTCACAGAAAAGAATAAATCATTTTGTTAATAGAATATGAGTAAAAAATGTGTGTCGGTTAAGCATGGACTTAAATGTTTATATCAATGGTATTCTAAAGTTCTAAAGCATTAAATTAATGATAATAGACCCAACACGGAATAGTATTGAATTTTTAAATGCTTATACAAGATAAAGCGGGTGTGATCTCCCGGAAAATGTCTTGTAAGGGCTAGAATTAGGGTTAGGTTAGGCTTAGACTGTGTCTATGATTCGGGTTTGGTTGCGTTTAGTTCTAGACTGACGTAAAGTACAGCAACTATTCCTAGGTTTGTGTCTTACTAATATATTAGCATTTAAAATAGACAATATACATACATAGACTATATACATATATATATATATATATATATATATATATACATATATATATATATATATATATATATATATATATATATATATATATATATATATATATATATATATATATATATATATATGTATATATATATATATATATATATATATATATATATATATATATATATATATATATATATGGTAATCTGTCGCTTTAGGTACGTAAAATCGGCCGAGGCTAGTAATGTGAAAAGAAAGTGCTTCATTAAACTTTAGTAATTATTTCACATTTTAAGGAAGATTTATGTTTTAAAAGTTACAAAAATGCTTCAAAGTTTCATTCATGTAGCTGTTTTTAAACAATTGTATTAAAACTTTTCAGTTAAAAATAAAGACTAGCGATGTTTTCATCAGATGCAATAAGGCTCGTTTACTTCAGCAGCCATCTCGTTTAAGTTTTTTTTTGGTAAACTTAAAGCGAGAGATTCAGGGGAAGCCACTCTAATTTACAAATGACCGCTTTTTATATAGCAAATCTTGCTCGCAAACACTGCTGTTCATTTCTGTCCTATATTGATATATTTAGCCATTGATTTTGGTATATTATTCAATTATCTATAATATTCGACACAAATATATAACAATATACTTTTATTAAAGCTTAAACGATGAGGCAACTTTTTCAGACATAAATAGCCTCGGCCGTTTTTACGTACCTAAAACAATAGATTTCCATGTATATATATATATATATATATATATATATATATATATATATATATATATATATATATATATATATATATATATATATATATATATATAATCTAGCTCTTAAAAATCTTGGCGTGATAATGCCTAATTGTTTCCTTCACATTTAAAATTCTTATTTTTTGTTTTCAGAATTCTAACATCCACAGTCGCCATGTTTAAATCGAAACAAATATCTGTTAATAGCGGCCTTGACTTTCGCGTAGTTAGACAAGTTTTCACGTGTTTGCGAGACAATAAGGACAATTTTACTGATTTTACAGTCAACATTGGCGACTTCCAGTTCAACTGTCACAAGTTTGTCCTAAGTTCCTGCTCTGGTTTCTTTGAGGCTCTCATGAGGACAGATATGAGAGAAAAATCTGAATCAAGTTGTACCATAGAAGGCATATCACCAGATATATTTGGATTCATACTGGATTTTATCTATGAAGGGAGAAATGTTCTAAATGACGATAATATCCTTGCCATATGGCATGCTTCAAACCAACTGCAGATAACATTTTTATTTTTATTATGTGAACACTTTGTCAAAGAGAGAGTAAATTTACAAAACTACAGTGATATACTTATAACTGCTCAACTGTTGGACTCTTTAGATGTTATAGATAGAGTTAGATTGTTTATGGTGAATAATTATCAGGAGATTTTAGAATCAGACGCCTTCGTTCAACTCTCTTTTGACGATTTTAAATACATTTTAAATCACTGTAAGTACCAGTATTATAGAACCGATTTTTTGGTGCAATCGGTTTTAAAATGGACATGTTCAGATGACGACTATCTCACAGATGAGCCGAAAAAATGTTCCAGCATGATTCACTCGCCAGAGACAGAAACTGATTCACTAAAATTAAAATGTAGAAAGGTGAACTCTACAACTGATGAAAGGGGGGATTTACCGTTTCGAAGATCATACCTTGGTCAATTACTTGCATTAATTTCTCTCCAGAGAGCAAACAACGAGTGTCTAGCCAAACTTATGAAGAATAAATTTGTCATGGAAAATGTATATGCCAGGACTATTGTCAACAAGATCGCTGCCACAAGTTTTGGTCCCATAAAATTACGTATCACAAAACTTGGTACCACAAAATCAGAAACGATTATTCAAGACGCCATATCAATTTCACATTCATCAGAATCAGGCTCCGAGGATGAATCCGATGAAACAACAGAAACAATATCTATATCAGATTCTGTAATCCCAGATTCCCTTCAGAGCCAAGCCAATGGTCATGATCAAAGTACGATCCACCGTTTTAGTGAATTCCGCGATTTTATTTCAGAAAGGTCTCAACATTTCCTAGACTTTATGATACCTTTAATAGTTTTGTATTCATGTTTATTAGTGTCGATTAACCTACTCATTGGGGACTTTATATAACATGTGCACATAACAACAACAAACACACCCTCATCTTAAAACAATCGATCTGTTACTACAAGCATATGGAAACCACCAGAGCTGCCATTCAATACAATTACATTCAATACCACCTGTCTCAATTACGCCAACGTTTTGATTTAACTACATTATCGATTTTGATTGAAGCACTGAACGTATGCATTCGTTTTTTGGTATTTTGGTATTTTGTTTAATCAGAGCTAGGTCGAGGATCAGTGTTAAATTTAACCCAAGGCCATTTAAAGCACACACACTTTTACGTAAATGACCAAAAAAACGTTTGAATTTCTTTATTTTAGCTATATTATACAAATTGTTTCGTTAAATTTCTTATAAAAAAACAACAACTAATTGTGTCGTATTCTGCTGTAATAGATTAACATCAAGTTTAGCCGCAAAATATTGTGTTTGTTTCTTTAGAAATGATTGCAATATGTAACTTAAAAATTCCATAAAAACGTTTGAATAAAAAGCTTTTATGTAATAATGCACTAATAACACTCTACTTATTAAATAATTATAAAGAAAAGCGTGGGCCACTGAATTATCTATTGGATGCTTTACTAATATTTTGGAAGAGACCCACGCTTTACTTTATGGTTATTCAAATAGTAGAGTATTATTATATATTTAAATAAAATGATTATTTTTCTACATTTAATTGCATAATTCAAACACACTATATACTTATGCAATGGCAATGTTAGTTTAGCTATGCAGTTGAAGACCCATCTTTAAAGATTACTTAACAATAGATTTGTATGAATTATTAAGCTTGTTCAGTGTGGTTTAGTCTGAGCGTTTTAAAATGCTGCCGTATGATCTGAAGATTCTGCCATCCGGTGTTATAGCCTTGTCGTGGTTTGGCTGCTTGTGTATCCTGACCACCCCCAGAGCTATACCAGCGGGAGTGTAAACTCCTGGTAGGTTCAACCAAGCTGGGAAGGTCTGCGCGAGTGGGGATCAGACCAAAGCTAACACCCTGGTCCTCCAGGTTGGGGGTTGAAACATAAAGCTAGCAACCTTATCTCATAAAAAAATATACCGCTACAGAAACTGCAAGTACAAAAATCCAACACCAACTTGGTCGAGGAAGTTCCTCTCTAGAAGAGCACATGATGCCTACTAGTGAAAGCCTAACGGAAGAAGAAGAGGCGAAAACAGCTGGGCTCACATGGGCACAGATTAGGGGAGCAGCCCAAAACCGAGTCCGCTGGAGATGTGTGGTTGGAGCCTTTTGCTCCCCAGGGGCCACAAAGGATTGATGATGATGATGATGATGATGATGTAAAGATTGGATTTTTTGTGATAACTTCCATTCTCATTGGGTTAGTTTTAATTTTAATCATTTTATGACGAGGAGTCGCACAACCGGAAAAGCAGTTGACAGAGGCAGGACTGTCATGGGGGACTCACAAGAAAATTGCGGTGACCGACACAAGTGGAGGGAGCTTTCTGTGGGGGACCCATGTGTCTTTGGCCAAAAAATAAGTTGATGATGAGTTTAAGATTGTTTTAGTTTACGGTGAATGCAATGGTTAGCTAACAGTGTATTCAAACAGGAACATATTTAGAACTTCATATAAAACATTGGGAAAAAAAACCCACTTAAAAACACATTTGTTTTTGTTCAAATAGGGATATGCCTATAAAATGTAAAACGATTTACTTTCCTTGTTGTGCACATGGAGGGTACGGATTTACACAACCGCTGGAGATGTATGGTTGCAGCCTTTTACTCCCCAGGGGCCACAAAGGATTGATGATGATGATGATGATGATGATGATGATGATAATGATGTAAAGATTGGATTTTTTGTGATAACTTCCATTCATTTTGAATTGGGTTAGTTTTAGTTTTAATCATTTTATGACGAGGAGTCGCAAAACCGGGAAAGCAGTTGACAAAGACAGGACTGTCATGGGGGACTCACAAGAAAATTGCGGTGACCGACACAAGTGGAGGGAGCTTTCTGTGGGGGACCCATGTGTCTTTGGCCAAAAAATAAGTTGATGATGAGTTTAAGATTGTTTTAGTTTACGGTGAATGCAATGGTTAGCTAACAGTGTATTCAAACAGGAACATATTTAGAACTTCATATAAAACATTGGGAAAAAAAAACCCCACAAACACATTTGTTTTTGTTCAAATAGGGATATGCCTATAAAATTTAAAACGATTTACTTTCCTTGTTGTGCACATGGAGGGTACGGATCTACACAACCTAACGTGATTTTAAAATATTACTGCAACTAGAAAAAAAAGTACATGAGACAAATTGGGATATCAAATAGATAGAACAGGTAAATAATGATATTCTTGAAAACAAATTCTAGTGTGCCACAGGCAAAACCAGCTATCCAACTGCTAGAAAAAAAATCATTGTTTGATTGACCACAATTATTGAAAACAAAAACTCTCAAAATACCCGAACCCCCCCCCCCCCCCATAAAATAAAATACAGCACTTAAAACTTCAGGTTTAATATAGACATAGCTACCTTGCGAATAGTTTTGCTCATTCTACTAAAGATCACACATAGATATGCTAATATAATACTAGTAAAGACTCTAATTCTTGTTAAAGTTAAAACATACGCTAAATCTTAGTCTACAATTTTGGATCCCAAAAATTCGAGACGTCTGTATAAGAAGTTCAAGGAAAAAAATTAGTCTGTTTACGCCTCTAGTTATTCAGGACAAGCGTTATTGAAAACTAAATTTAAAATTATTACCCTCTTTTTTTTGATAAACATTTTCCTTTGTTATAAGATTGGTCATTCGAGTTTCTCCTTTAAAATGTTCATTTTTTAAAACTCAAACCTTAAGAGTTTGTTGTTATACTCAACCATATAGAGCAATAGTGTTTCAACCATATGACGATTTGTATAGAGATGGGCAGTGTCTTGTAACATCAGTGAACTATTTCGTGTCTATTGTTGTAGATTTACGGGTTCCTGCATTGCAACTGTGAAGTTTAATTCCTTTTTGACGACCGAAGTTACTTGTATTTTGTTATTCTTTTCCCCCTGCAATATATTTTTGTACTATCATCTTCTATTTCCATTCGTGCCCAAGACACACGGTATAGATCAAGTAGAGTTCATCTATGCTCAGCCGACTTTGCTTTACTAAACGTGAGTTAGGTACCCAACAGAGCCAGGTGGTTTTAGGGACGTTCTCCTGACTTGAATCCGGATTTAAATCTGAGACATTGGGGTTAGAAGTCTAGCTCTCTACTACTAGGACACGCCGTTCCTTATAGAGCAGTAGTGTTTCCGTAAAGAGCAGTTGTGTTTTCCTAAATAGCAATAGTGTTCGACTAGGCACTCTATAGCGATAGTGATTGAGTAAACCCTACAGAGCAGTAGTGTTTGACTCCACTCTATAGAGCAGTAGTGTTTGACTCCACTCTATAGAGCAGTAGTTTTTGACTCCACTCTATAGAGCAGTAGTTTTTGACTCCACTCTATAGAACTGTAGTGTTTGACTCCACTATATAGAGCAGTAGTGTTTGACTCCACTCTATAGAGCAGTAGTTTTTGACTCCACTCTATAGAGCAGTAGTGTTTGACTCCAATATATAAAGCAATAGTGTTTGACTCCACTCTATAGATCAGTAGTGTTTGACTCCACTCCATAGAGCAGTAGTGTTTGACTCCACTGTTTAGAGCAGTAGTGTTTGACTCCACTCCATAGAGCAGTAGTGTTTGACTCCACTGTTTAGAGCAGTAGTGTTTCCACTCCATAGTGCAGTAGTGTTTCACTCCACTCCATAGAGCAGTAGTGTTTGACTCCACTCTAAAGAGCAGTAGTGTTTGACTAAACCCTAAATAGCAGGGGTTTCAAAACAAATGCCACCCTCCGTTTTATGATTGTCCTTAAGGAAGATGTGTAGGATTTATCCATCTGTGTAAGTGTGGTTATATCTTAGTGTTTTATAATGCAAATGTCATCAACAAATCAGGTTTGAAGGTTGGTTTGTAATTCAGGTCACAACCGCTGATCCACGCCTTCGCATTTTGCTTACCATACAGTAAATAAATTGTACAAAGTTAGCAAAAAATGTTGTCATTGAGTCATGGTAGATCTGTTTGTTACACGACTATGTGAGCACGTATTCGACGTTCTACACACTTTTAGCTGTGTTTTAATAAGGCCTTAATCTAATAATACTCTATCATCGGGGATTCCCATTTTCAGCGTTCTTTGTTTTAGTGTAATCACAGTTGAACGCGCCCTTTTTTGTTATCAATGGCGGCAAACTAAAAACTAATGTCACCTGTATACTTAATGTATCTTGTTTTTGAACTTTGTATAAAGAAGGTACAGGTATGAAATATTACAAATATTCACAGAAAAGAATAAATAAATCATTTTGTTAATAGAATATGAGTAAAAAATGTGTGTCGTTAAGCATGGACTTAAATTTTTTATATCAATGGTATTCTAAATTTTTTCATGAGAATGTCGTAGAAAAAATAATTGCGTACTAAATGAACTCAAAGTAGAAATAGCTGAAACCGTTTTCAAGTTATCTTGTGCCCAATTGAATAAAGTATCACTTTCTCTTATAATAAAGATTTCACAAATCCTTAGATATTTACGCATGATTTATTTTACAATGATTTACTTAAATTTGAAATTTCGTTCACTTAACTAAAACAGTTATGAAGTAATTAGCCATTGAGAAACCGGAGTTAGAGTAAGTACAACTTCCGATTACAAAAAGTCGTTCAAAGATTGATAGGAAACTATATACTATATTATATATATATATATATATATATATATATACTAGCCGTCCCGGCCAGGCCCTGCTCTGGCTTCTGTGAAAAACCTTTCTGTTAAAGACCATTACCTGTGTGTTTAGTAATCATCATAAACCCGGCATTGCCCACCCAAACCACAACCAACCAAAAACAACAAAACGCAAACATAACGCTAACACAATTACAAATACAAACGAAAACAAAAACTTAACAACAAACACAACCACACCCACAAACACCAATACAAACACAAAGAAAAAAACAAACAAAAAAGCAAACGAAAACAAAAACCTAACAACAAACCCAACCACAAACACCAATACCAACAAAAAAAAAATCAACGAAAAAAGCAAACGAAAACAAACCAAATCCAAACGCAAAACCAACCAAAAACACAAATACAAACCCAAACAAAAAAAAACACAAACAAAAACGAAAAAAGAAAGAACAAAAACGAACCAAATTAAAACGCAACCACTAACGCAAACCCACCTAAACACAAAGAAAACACTAACGCGAACATAAACGCCCGGGGCGGAATCACCTGTTTTAGCTTAATGAACGACTATAGTACCCCAACTTATTCACAGTCTTTTGCACTCACTTAAACGAACGCGCCTGTTTCAATTTAATAAACAATTTTAATACTCCAAGCTTATCCGTAAAATACCTACAACATTTGCACTTGATCAATCCCCGCTAATTATGTAATTATTTTTTTTCCCAACACCAAAACAAAGTAATTAAAAAGTAAATTATTTTCACGGAATGCAATGGTTTTTTATAAAGGGAAGTAATTGTGTTTTTCCTAATTTATCAAAGGGAAGTAAGTGCTATAGGACTAAATAAAGACATAATTAGAATTTTTGTAAAAGATGATATTTTTTTTAAAACTTGTGTTTAATGAACATGCCGACAATTATTACTATAATTTGAAAAATGAAAATTATTTCCCAACACTTTCAATGGTAATTTTTTAGCTCATAAATTTAGACAAATGCGCACGATAATTTTTCTAACACTTAAAATCGTACAATTCCAACGACATACAAATGCATTACATACAGAACTGAGCTTTATATATTAGATATATATATATATATATATATATATATATATATATATATATATATATATATATATTTGATATATATATATAATCTAGCTCTAAAAAAATCTTGGCGTGATAATGCCTAATTGTTTTCTGATTTAGTAGTCTTCACATTTAAAATTCTTATTTTTTGTTTTCAGAATTCTAACATCCACAGTCGCCATGTTTAATCCGAAACAAAATTCTGTACATAGCAACCTTGATTTTGTCGTAGTTACAGAAGTTTACAAGTGTTTGCGAGGCAATAAGGACAATTTTACTGACTTTACAGTCAACATTGGCGACTTCCAGTTCAACTGTCACAAATTTGTCTTAAGTTCCTGCTCTGGTTTCTTTGAGGCTCTCATGAGGACAGATATGAGAGAAAAATCTGAATCAAGTTGTACCATAGAGGGTATCTCACCAGAAATATTTGGACTCATACTGGATTTCATCTATGAAGGGAGAAATGTTCTAAATGACGATAATATCCTTGCCATATGGCATGCTTCAAACCAACTGCAGATAACATTTTTAGTTTTATTATGTGAACACTTTGTAAAAGAGAGAGTAAATTTACAAAACTACTGGGATATACTTTTAACTGCTCAGCTGTTGGACTCTTTAGATGTTATAAATAGAGTTAGACTGTTTATGGTGAAGAATGTTCAGAAGATTTTAGAATCAGACGCCTTCGTTCAACTCTCGTTTGACGATTTTAAATACATTTTAAACCACTGTAGGTACCAGTATTATAGAACCGATTTTTTCGTGCAATCTGTTTTAAAATGGACATGTTCAGATGACGACTATCTCACAGATGAGCCGAAGAAATGTTCCAGCATGATTCACTCGCCAGAGACAGGAACTGATTCACTAAAATTAAAATGTAGAAAGGTGAACTCTACAACTGATGAACGGGGGGATTTAACGTCCAGAAGATCATACCTTGGTCAATTACTTGCATTAATTTCTCTCCAGAGAACGAGCAACGAGTGCCTAGCCAAACTTATGAACAATAAATTTGTCATCCAAAATGTACAAGCCATGACTATTGTCAACAAGATCGCTGCCACACGATTTGGTCCCACAAAATTTGGTCCCACAAAATTTGGTCCCACTAAACTTGGTACCACAAAATTTGGTGCCACAAAATCAGAAACGATTATTCAACCTTCCACATCAATTTCACATTCATCAGAATCAAGCTCCGAGGATGAATCCGATGAAACCCCAGGAAGCACATCTATATCAGATTACAATTTTAATGTAATCAGAGATTTGTTTCAGAGCCTCACCAATAGTCATGATCAACCTACGATCCAACATTCTAATCGATCCAGTGATTTGTTTTCAGAAAATTGTCTAATTTTCGTTTTAAACATATGTATGGTAGTTTGCTTTGCATGTGCATTAGTGTTGCTTTATCTACTCATTTGTGAAATTATGTAACATGTCTGAACTATAAACACACCCTCATCTAAAAACAATCGATCTGTTACTACAAGCACAAGGTAATCACAAGTGCTGCCATTCAACACAATTACATTCAATACCACCTGTCTCAATTACGCCAACGTTTTGATTTAACTACATTATCGATTTTGATTGTAGCACTGAACGTATGCATACGTTGTTTGTATTTTGTTTAATTAGAGGTAGGCCGTTGTTCAGTGTAAATTTTATCTCGAGGCCATTTTGAAACACACACATTTTAACAGTGCCTTTACTTAAGTGGAAACAAAGCAACTTTTGATTTTATTTATTTTAGCTCTTTTATACAAATTGTTTCGATTAATTTCTTAAAAAAAAACAACAACTAATTGTGTCGTATTCTGCTGTACTAGATTAACATCAAGTTTAGCCGCAAATCATTGTGTTTGTTTCTTTAGAACTGATTGCAATTTGTAATTTCAAAATTGCATAATAAACGTTTTAATAAAAAGCGTTTATGTAATAATGCCCAAAAAAGTAGAAACGCAATGATTTTCTTTCAATATATAATAACACTTTACTAACTAAATGACTATAAAGAAAATCACGGGTCACGATATTATCTATTGGATACATTTACTACTGATTTGGAAGAGAGCACGCATTTCTTTATATTTATTCAAATAGTAGAGTATTTTTATATATTGAAAGAAAATAATTAATTTTCTACATTTAAGTGCTTTATTCAAGCAAACGGTATCCTTATATACCATGACAATGTTAGTTTAATTTTGCAGTTTAGAACCTTGAAGATTAATTAAAAACAGATTTGTGGGATTTATTAAGCTGGGTCCGTGTGGCTTAGTCTTAGACGGAGGGTGTAGTAGGTTAGGTTCAGATCGTTAAGGATAAACAAGTTTAGGTGAGTTATGTTTTGGTGAATTTAGGTACGTTAAGTTCAGGTAAGGTAACTTTATGTGATCAGAGATTAGTTAGGCGTTGTTAAATAAGGATAGGCTTAACAAGACTGAGATGCAAACTTTGACCTTACAATGATTTATCTTGGACCAGTAATCATCCTCTTTCTGTTTGTGTCCAAGACACATGGGACAGCAGAAGAAGAGTTTGTCTGTTTCAATGACCTCGACATACAAGGTGATATGGTGGTCAGCACTATGTATTTATTAGGTACCTATCAGAGATGGGTGGACTCAATGACGTCCTACTGTACCGGATTTGAAATCGAGATTTTCGAGTTAGCAGTCTCGCTCACTACTGCTAGGCCAAGCCTAAAGATGGGCATTGTCTTGTAAGATCAGTACACTATTGCGTTTCTCCAGGCGTAGAATTATGTATACCGGCATTGCAGATGCGAAGTTAAATTGTTTTGTAGCGACCCAAGTAAGTTAAATTGTTTAGGGGAGACCCAGTATAACTTAAATTGTTTAGTGGAGACCCAGTATAAGTTAAATTGTTTAGAGGAGACCCAAGTAAGATAACTTGTTTAGTGGAGACCCAGAATAAGTTAAATTGTTTAGTGGATACACAGTATAAGTTAAATTGTTAAGTAGCGACCCACGTAAGTTAAATTGTTCAAAGGAGACCCAGTATAAGTAAAATTGTTTAGTGGAGACCCAGTATAAGTTAAATTGTTTAGTGGAGACCCAAGTAAGTTAAGTTTTTTCCTTCTTATTCGACTGTAGACCTATTTAGTTTGACGTGCTATACTTTAAATAAATGTAACAAAACGGAGTGGTTCACTTTTGTAGATCTGCTTGTAACACGCAGGCATGCAAAATCTATACACCTAGATTTAAGCTTTAAGAACGTTTTAATCTAAGAATACCCTATAACCGGGAATTCCCACCGTTTTATGTTTTTGGTGCAATCATAATTGTTGGTGTCGGTAACAAACAACACTAAAATTGAAAGTCAGTTTAGACTCTATGTCTAGATACTTTAATTTATTTTCTGTACTTTGTATGAGAAAAGTAGAACTATTACTATTGCTCACAGAAAGAAACAAATATTTTTAAAATAGAATTTGACTAAAAAGCGTGTGTTGTACCTTATGAGCTTATACAATTTTATCTAGATCTACATTCTACATCCTTAATTTAATGGACCCCACGGTAAAAAGTCTCAAATGTCCTATTAAATATTTTAATAATCGGTTTAGGTTTTATTACAACAAATTTGGTTATAAAAATCGAGAAATTTTTTTCGTTTTAAACTAAATATTTGACGTATATGACTATTAAGAAATTTGGGTAACTAAACAAAATTATAAAAAGCCGAAATAATTTGCAACTTTATCATCAAGGATGCTTTAAATAGTACATTTCTGAATGTGTATTTTATTACAAAAACTATCAAACTCCCCACTATCCGCGAGCTAACACACTAACATATTTACAAGAAAACTGCGGAAAACATCAGTGAAATGCCGAAACTCAATAGCGCCGCATAGCAGTTGTATTAGTAATAAACCGGGAGTGATCTCCCCTAAAAATTTCTCGAATATTCTTGTAAAAAACAACAGGGGATGGGAACTCGGGATATAGTTATGATTTTTTATCCATTTAAATACTAAACTTTTTATAATAGAATAGAATCTCATAGAAAAAAGAATTGCCAAGCGAACGCCGAATAAAGATGTGTAAAATAGTGCGGAATATTATTAGTACTTTATAAATTCAAATGCGTTTTTTGAGAAATCGGAAATAGTGAAAATAACTAGGCCTACTTCTGGTGAACGGAAATTACTTCAAATTTGAAGAAGGCAGAAAATTAGATCTTGTACTTACTTGTGAAATTTCATTCATCTATCTGAAATAGTACTCAAGCTATAGGCTTTTAAAAAAATCAAAGTAGAAAAAGTTCCACATCCGGTTATCGGAAATTGCTCAAAAGTTGATACGGATCTACGATTTTGATATTATACTTATGTATGAAACCTAGCTGTAACGGTACTCAAGTTATCGTGTTTACACACACACACACACATACACACACACACACAGAGACATACGGACAAGATTGCAAAACTATGTGTTTCCGACTCAGGGAGGTGTAAAACGTCGAGATTTGTAAAAATCTCTATTTTTTTGCACGATTACAATACTTTCTCTATTGGGCTTGTAAGACTAAGTTGTTAAAGTAGCTTACCAAGTTCTTGCTCCGGTAGTTGCCAGCTAGCGTTTTTTTTTTCAAACCAATTGTGAATATTTTTTTTAAGTTATAAAATCTACTTTCGCTTTTGGAATCAAAACAAACTCCGACGATGAGTTGTTTTAAGTAAATTAATTTTAACATAACACACACACACACACAAATATATTATATTTTATATAGATAGATCTAGAATACACATGTTTTTTGACGTAGGACTAGACCCTGTATAATAATAATAATTTTTTAAAATAAAATATGAGATTTATAAAAGATTTCAACCGTAAATCAAGCCTAAATTTAATTATTAAGTATAGCCTAGATCTAGAGTCTAGATTTCTAGATCTCGATCTATGACTAAAAAAAGTCCTCTTGAAAATTCCGACGTAGACAGTAACATACGACATACAGGATTTTTTTTTATTTATAGACTCTAGAGTAGTCTAGATTCTAGATCTAATTTCTTTTATTTTACAGTGTAGTTGATTGTAGACTTAAGAATTAGGAATTAATTACTAAATTAGGCCTATTAAATAGGCTACTTACTTTAAGACAAGTAGACTAGAATATTTTCAATATCAATCAGTGGCGTGGTCGGGAGTTACCCGGTGCGGCACTTAATGGTGTCACCTCCCAGAGGCGTAGCGACCATTCCCGGGGACAAACTTTCAGTTTTCGATTTGCACCTCCCCCTCCAACTTTCGATTTGTACCTTTTAGAAGACTATTTAACACTCGAATTAATCACTAAATTAAGTGGAATTATCATTTTATTTTGTATATATTGCTATTTTTGCATTGGTGTCACCCCCTAAGTGGTGACACCCGGTCAGGTCCGCATCCCCCGCCCCATATCGATCTCACTACACCTCTGACATAAATTTATATAGAATCTAGATTATTCTAGGTCTAGTGGAGTTGAGTGTAGTCTTGTTATAGATTAGAACTTAAGAACTCGATCTAGAGTAGTGAACTGTAGTAATTTAGATCTAGAATCTAGTAATGTAAATTATGCAGTAATTGTAGATCTAGAATCTAGACACAAACTAGATTCTTCTAGATTTAGAATCTAGATTCTTCGAAATTTATTATTATTATTATTAGGCCTATTTGTTCATTTATATTATCAGATAATTGTGGTAAATAAAAGTCAACACATCTAGACTAACAAAATACCATGCATTTAAAATATATTATGACTTAGAGAAAGTTTGGTGAAATGGAAATTTAATTTATTGATGATGTGTAACTTATTTGTATTATTCCTTTGGAACTGATAGTAATAAAAAGTTAATGAAATTACAGAGTTTCATCCAATTAATGTTTCTAAAGCCTTGCATGAACTTAATTTAAATATATTTAGCTGCCCAATGAATTTTCCGGAATTGGCTTGTCGTTTGACTGATGGTAACAAAGAGAATCACCCAGGATCTTTGCTGATAAGAAAATCTGAAGACGTACCTTATTCTTCTATACCTAAATGTGATTTGTCTAATGAAAATATTAATTAAGTGACCACTGCCAAAGATATTTTACTATTATTTCATACATCATCTTCTGAAATGTTGTTTTCTATCTCTAAACCTTTCACAATTTCTTCAAGAGATATTTTAACATCTTTACCTACTTCCCACAGTTCTTATGTTCAAAATTTGCAATGTTCTGAGAAACAAAGTAATAATAAATTTGTACCCTGTGTTTAGTTTCAGCTCCATTAAAATGTAATAAATCAAACAATTTCAAAACTAAATGTTTCTTATCCCATATGAACGTATTCTGTTTTATTTAAGAAAAATCACCTTTAAAAAAATTTAATGTTTGGATGTCAATAAAACATAAGGACATGGACTAGTTTGTGGGTAAGCTTTTATACTTAATGTACAATGAAGATTCAGTTTTGATGTCAATATAGTTGCTTCTGAAAGAATTAAACTATAAACAATAGCATTTATGTAAATATCTCAATGGCAGTTCAGTATACTCATCATTGATTTCAAACAACAAAACAGAACTACTTTTTAAAATTGAAAAAAAAAATTAAAAGAATTTCATTAATGAATGTTTTTTAATTACTTAAAACAGAAGATGCATGAATACAGCATTACAAAGTATATAATTTATATGTGTAGAATTGTAGATAGATGATAGCTAGATCTAGATTCTAGATAGATCTAGATTCTAGATCTAGATTCCATCTCTAGTCTAGTCTAGAGTCTAGATCTAGACTAGTAGATATCTGATCTAGATCTAGATTCG